CGGGCCGCCGCGTGTCAGGACTGGTTTTCCGGTGAGACTGGGGAGAGGTGCAGGGGCGGCCACCGTGCAGACGGGGAGGTCCAGGGTCCCGAGGAAGAGTCCGAGGAGGGCGAGGCCAGGACCGGGCCTGAGCCATGCTGCCTGGTGTCAAAGTGGTCCGGGGGAGGAGGAAAGACGCGGCGAGGGGGCTGGCACCGGGCCGCAGCCCGAAGGAGGCGTGGATGTGCTGAGCGGGGACGGATCGGCGGCCGGAGATGGGGATGTTTGCCGTTGTTGCCCAGTCGGGATAGGGGCAAGAGGCTGGGCCATCTGAGGAGAGGAGACAGCAGGGAGAACTCCGGGAGGCCCCTTGAAGAGGAGAGAAAGGGGTTGAACGGGAGATGAGAGCTGGGGGAGAGGGGCGGGACGCTGGACGGGAGGACGTAGAGGCTGCAAGTGGAGTATGGGAGAGGTGAGGCTGACCTGGAAACCCTGAGGGGAGCCCAGGGGCAGAGACTGAAAGGCAGGCGCAGGGTCTGAACCTCCAGCCTACCCTGGGAGAGGGCTCGAAGAGAGCCCAGGAGAAGCCAGAGGAAAGGGTCCAGGTGAGCGGGTAGGCGAAAGGGACCGAAGGGAGGGCAGCAGAGGGAGATGGGGCCGCCGAGCAGCCGGATGTTCCTGGAGCTGGGCCTCCTCCCCCCGCCCCCCGCCTCATCCTCTTGGTCCCCACCCAGCGCTGGGCCACCCTCCCCCTCCCGCAGACTCCCGGAGCCAGGGAAGCGCTTGCTGCCTTGCTAGGCCCCTGGGACTGGAGAGGAGAGGTGTCTGCCTGTGTTTATTTCCCCGCCCTCCCGGGGCTGCTGCTGTTGGGGCTGCACCAGCTGTCTGGGGAGATGGGCAGGTGGGGCCTCCTGGTCCCACCCAGATCTCTGGGGAGATCTCTGGGGAGCCACAGCTCTGGGAAGCCTGGGCCGACCCCCTTCACCCCACCTGGTTTGGAGAGCGACTGGCCAGCTCATCTCAGGAACTCACCTTGTCAACGAAAGTTCATTGTCCGCCCAGCCCTGACTTCTACCTTCCGAATTCGAATAACAGAGCCCACGGGAACAGATGGAAGCGGTGGTTGGTGAATGCAGGGCCAAGCCTACCTCGCCCCAGGCCAGAGGTGGGGTCAGGGTGCGCTCTCCTGGCTCATCTCACTTCCTCCGTGGGTGCAGAGGCTCTTGAGAGGTCTGCAGGGCACTGTTCGGGTTGCTGTGTCAGCTTGGGTCCACACAGCAAGTGGAACAGGGAAACCTCAAGCGTAATGTGCCCACACACACCCGTAACCCTAGCGCTAGGGAATCACAAATTCAAGTCTGGCTGGGGCAATTTAGGGAGATCCAGTCTTAAAAAGGGGTGTGTGGGTGGGTGCGGTTGGGATGAAAAGGGCTGGGGATGTAGCTTAGTGGAGGGTGCCCCTGGGTTCATTCCCTAGTACAACCACCACCACCACCACCAAACAACAAAAAAAACGATCGTGAGATTGGAGTAATGAGAGACCTACTAAGATTCGTGGACCATGCATAACGAGGTCGGGTGACTGTGAGGTCGAATGTGATCAATCCCAATGCTCTGTCTCCATCATTAAGCCTCTGGATTCCTGCATCCACATTATGCCAGAGACTTCTCGTCTCTTGGCCTCTTCAACTGCAGACTGTCGATGGGTCCTAGTTCCAGTCGGCCAATCAAGTAACTGTTAGAACCACCCCAGATGCACACGGTAACTTACTAAAGATGGACTCTCTAGTAAGCATACCCACCAGTGAGTTTGGGCCCAGCTAGTGTTATATTCGTCCTCCTCAGTCTGACACCCTTAGAATCCACTCCTGCATGCCATCTCCAGGGCTCTGTCTGTGCATCAGTTTGCAAAGTTTCCTTTTAGTGTGCAAGTTGCTCCCTCCTAAGTCCTACTGGTCTCTGTTCCCAGGTACATATGGGCCTGGTGGCAGCAGCAGGCACTTGTGAATATGAAGAACAGGTGCCCTCTTTAAAGGTGAGGTCATCCTTACATGGTGTCCAAGCTCAGCGCGCTGGGAGGCCCCTGGCACTGGGAACGGACTCTGTGGGTCTGAGGTCTTCTGTTTACCCTGGATCCAACCGGACGACCCCATCTAAGAACTTCTGGGGCTGTTAGGGAAGCTGTCTGGTTCTCAGATGCAGCAGAGCAGACTCCAGCTTGTCACTGTATCTGTGGGCACTCAGGAGCACTCCCAAGAATCCACCCGACACCCCAGCCTTTAGAATTGTCCTGCCACAGCTGTCAGGCATAGGGGTCACGGGCTCTGAATCAGGTGCTTCCCTTGGCACCTTGAGATCAACCACGGCGGGGCTGTGAAGCCACTGCATGTTGGGGATCGCTGGCTTCCTATTTCCCTGGGCTGCGCTCAAGACCAAAGGTGCAACCAAACCACCCCGAATTCCATCTTAGAAGCTGTGTCCTGGGGCATTCCGAGTATAGATTCTGGATCAGTCTGGAGCCAATAAGAAGAGAAAAACCGCACAGTAATTTCACAGGGACATTTTAATATCACAAATTACTCAACAGTGACCTGGAATCACAAGATTCACTGGTAAATGCTTCAGAGTTGATGGAAAATCTGGCTGGGTTGCTGGGAAGCCTCATGGAGGGGCGGCACCCCAAAAAAACCACAGGGCTGGGGGTCTCAGGGGAGGCTGTTGAGCACAAGTCTCTCCAGGGCTGTGCTGGGGGAGCCACATGACCTGTGGCTCAAACCTGATACAGCGGGCGCAGAGTACACACCTTCCCTCCAGCAATCTGACTGCTGATGAAGCCTAGTGTGCTGTTAGCAAAGGAAATAAGTCCAAGGGCCCAGCGCCATTTTCACAGCAGCAGAAAAAACAGCTGAATTTGAAACTGAAAGCTAATAAATAAAAACAAAAAAACAAAAACAAAACCAGCCACACAATGGGAACTGGGGAGCGAGGGCCAGGATGGTGGACAGGCGAAGCGAGCCAACCAGTCCTGCACAGGGAACTTGTATCGGTCAGGGTCCCTGAGACGGCCAACCTCCAACATGGTGGGTCTCGTGTTAGGGACACACGGAGGTGAGCGCACTTTCCTACTGACAGCTCGAGGAGGCAGGGGAAGGACTTGAGTGGAAAAGACTGCCAGTAATAAAAACCCCAACCTCATGCTACCCTTCCCCCTGGTCTGCCAGGTCCTCCGTGCCCCATGCTGAAGGAACCCCACCTTGGAGGGCAGGTGTAGACAGCCACACCGTTCTACGTGGGTCACCGCGATCCACGGGCTGTAGGCTTGGCAGGGATGGGGCTGGCTGTATTCTGAGGCCGCTCCTCTGGCCCCAACCTGAGACCCTGGGCCCAGTCAGTCCCCACAACCTCACAGTTGGGCAACATCTCTTCCACCAGGATCTGAGTGAGGCCCGGGTACTCCACGGCGGGGAGGTCTGAGATGTCCAGTCTCTGGAGGTTCCTGAAAGGGGAAAAAGGGCAGGAGGCTGACATCAGAACAGGGGTCTATGTGTGTGTGCGCATACGCGCAGAGGAGGTGCTAGAGATGGAAGTCAGGGTCTCATGTGCTAGGCAAACGCTGTGTCACTGAGCTACATCTCTAACTCCAAAATAAATCTTTACAGCTGTCTAGGGTGAAATCTACCACTTAGATACAAATGTGTGCCTCTAGCTCCTACTGTTCTGCAACAGTGTATACTGTGCAGGTTTCATTAAAACAAAAAGGAAGAAAATCCTGTAGTTAATTCTGATGGACTTGGCCTGAGCACCCTCTTACACATCCTAGGGCTGGGAAGCAGGAAGGACACGGGTGGGAGGTGCCCTGAAGCGAGGCCCAGCCTGCACTGCGGTCCTCACTGGAGGTGGTGGAGGCAGGCGAGGCCCCGTTCCGAGATGTGGGGGCAGCCGGCCAACAAGAGCTCCTGCAGTGAGTCAGACAGAGGGTAGAGGCGGCTGAGGCACCAGTCGTCCACGTGGGGACAGCGCTGCAGTGACAGGGATCGGAGCTCCTTCAGGGGCACTGCAGGAGCACAGGGTGATACCATGAGGGCCCTTCTGGAGCCACCACCAAAGGGGAGGTCTTAGGTTCCCAGCCCCACCCGAGCCCTCTCACAGAGATTGTCCAGGCCATAGTAGTTGATAACACAGCCACTGGCATCGATAGCCTCCACGGGCACCGCTTGGAACTTCAAGACCTCAGCAGAGAAACGTTTGTACTCATCTGACCTGATCCACTCCCTGTCCCGAAACCTGGAACGGGGATGAAGAAGTGTTGGCGGGTGCTGGCCCTCCAAGCACCCGTCCCAGCCCCTGCGACTGCACTGGCTGGGCACTTCCTGTACACCTGCTCGCCGAGGGCGCTACGCAGAGCCACTGTGACAATCCCTTCATGCATGGAGACAGAACCTCTGAGAGATTACTGATACTTAACAGCAAAGAACTACACACACAAATCCTTGTTAAGGAGCCGGGGATTTAGCTCAGTGGTTCTGGCGCCTGCCTCACAAGCTCAAGGTCCCCAGTTCGATCCTTGGT